CATCATCGTCATCATGATCATCATCATCAACAGCATCATCACCATTGTCATCGTCATCATCATCAGCAGCAACGTCATCAGCATCATCGTCACCACCATCATCATCATCATCATCATCATCATCATCATCATCGAAATCGGCATCGAAATTCTGATCATCATCATCATCATCGTCTTTATCCTAATCATCAGAATCATCATCAGCATCATCATCAGCACCATCCTCATCATCAGCATCATTATCAACAGCATCGTCAGCATGATCGTCATCAGCATCATCTCCTCATTATCCTGCTCCTCCCCCTCCTCCTCATCCTCCCCATTATCACCATCATCATAACCAGCATCATCATCATGCTCATCATCCTGATCATCATCATAATCATCATCATCATCATCATCATCATCATCATCATCATCATCATCATCGTCATCAGCATCATCATAATCGTCATCATCGTCATCATCAGCATCATCAAAATCAGCATAATCATCATCAGCAGCATCATCAGCATCATCATCATCCCCTTCACCCTCCATATCCTCGTCATCATCATCCCTCCTCCTCCTCTTCCTCCTCCTCCCCCTCCCCCTCCTCCTCCTCCTCCTCCTCCTCCTCCTCCTCCTCCTCCTCCTCCGCCTCCTTCTCCTCCTCCTCCGCCTACCCCTACCGTCCTCACGCACCCGCTCCCTCGCCCACTCCCTCGCTCCCTCCCTCGCGCCTCCTCCCCCCCAAGCCGGCAGCCCTGCCGCACGGACTCCCGGCCGCCCCATCCACGCACGCGCCACCCAGAGGGCGGGACGGGAGAGGGAGAGGGTCAGGGTCCAAAAACACAAGGGATTTGCCACATTTCTGAAATTCGGTGCCACCCCTCACGCAGATCCGCGGGGTCAGGGTCCAAAAACACAGGGGATTTGCCACATTTCTGAAATTTCTGAAATTCGGTGCCACCCCTTACGCAGATCCGCGGGGGGAGGGGGCCAGCCAGGCGCGCTCGCGCCTCGTCTGACATCCCACCCCTCCCTCCCATCCCTTCCCACTGCGCAGCAGGAGGACCTGGGCCAGAAGAAGAGCCTTCGAGAGCACGAGACCCTCCGCCGGCCAAAACGCACAGAACAGACACCAGGGTACCCTCCCCAGGCTGCACAAAAACATCCAACAAGCACGAAGAACAGTAGGGTACCCTCCCCGAACCGACCTCGATCTTATACCTATGTCCGACTAGAATGATTTGTCTTCTCACTGAGCTGGGCATCGAATCAGGCCTTCATGCTGGGCCAGGAAGCCTCGGCACGCAAACCGATGCTGACGCCTCGAAGCGGCTTCGTGACAGAGCAACGGGGTCAAAACGCGACAGCGGGACCACCATTGACAAGGACCGCGAACGCGCATGCGAGGCCAAGGCGTCAGCGGAACGGCACAGCGGGACCACTACTCCGAAGGGCCAAAAAACGCAGATTGAGGGCAACGCGACAGCGGGACCTCCGTTGAGAAGCACCGCGGACGCGGAGACGAGACCAGTGCTGCAGCGGGGGGGGCCATCTTTAAAAGGACCGGGAACGCGGACGCAGCGCCGACACTGCAGCAGGAGCGCCAGCTTGGCAGGAGCGCAGCTGATCGAAGTCAGAAAAACACACGAAAAAAGCCTTGCCCGCGCAAAACATGTGCGCAAGAAGCGGGCACGCGGAGGGATCGAATTGAGAAAACACGCAGGAGAAGGTCGGCCGCGGGGGGGGGGGGGGGCGGCTGCTCTCGGCGCATCTCTGGAGGAGAGAGGAGAGTAGCATTCGCAGTGCGCAAGCGAGGAGGAAGCGGAGGGGAGCGCAGGAGGAAGGAGGGAAGGAAGGGGAGGGGGAGGAAAAGGAAGGCGAGGAAGGGAGCGAGAGAGAGAGAGAGAGGGAGGGAGCAATGAGGCTTCTCCAGCCCGACGCGGGCACTGCCTGCAGTGTGCGGGGCCTCCTTGGGAGCAGGGAGGAGGGCGGCGACGGGCGGGTCGAGGGGGAGCTCCACTCCCAGGCGCGCTGCCTCCTCCTCCTCCTCCTCCTCCTCCTCCTCCTCCTCCTCCTCCTCCTCCTCCTCCTCCTGCGCCTCCTCCTCCTCCTCCTCCTCCTCCTCCTCCTCCTCCTCCTCCTCCTCCTCCTCCGCCTCCTCCTCCTCCTCCTCCTCCTCCTCCTCCTCCGCCTCCTCCTCCGCATGGCGCAACGGTCGGCACGTTCGTGAGCTCCTGGGCTCGCCATCGCTCGGACGTCTGTTCCCTGTGCCTCTGTTCGGTCTCGCGCGTGTGTATGTTTTCGCTTTGTCGCTCGCCGCCACCGGGCGCCTCCTCTCTCTTCCTCGCGCATCTTGGCGCAGTTCGCGTCTCGTATGACCTACCACCGCCCAATCCGCCAGCGCAATGACTCTGCCTAGTCGCCTACGCAAAAAAGTGTGTATGTCCTCGCAGGACGAACCAGAATGCTTCCCGAGGGCCCTCGCAGGGGAAACATGCATACAGCCGAGCGATGCCGAGTGGGAGGTCAGGCAGAATGACGCTGCACGGGGATCCAAACTGCCGCTCCGCTCCCCGGGCTCTGCCGACCGCGCAGCTGCCGGCACTCTCGTGAGCTCCCTGGAGGGCTGGCGGGGGGCCGTCTTGCGGGGACCCCATCCGGACCTCGCCCTCCGAGGGGGCCGCCAGCTGCGACTGTCGGCACTTGCGTGAGCTCCTGGGAGGTCCAGCGGAGTGACGTCTTACAGGGAGCCAAACTGTCTCTGCTTCCCCTGGGCGCTGCCGCTTGCGCAACAGTCGGCACTTTCGTGAGCTCCTGAGGACGTCCAG